TTTTTTTTTTTTTTGAGACGGAGTCTCTGTCACCCAGGCTGGAGTGCAGTGGTGCAATCTCAGCTCACTGTAACCTCTGCTACCCGGGTTTAAGCAATTCTCCCGCCTCAGCCTCCCAAGTAGCTGGGATCACAGGCACCTGTCACCATGCCTAACTATTTTTGTAGTTTTAGTAGAGATGGGGTTTCACCATCTTGGCCAGGCTGGTCTTGAACTCCTGACCTCATGATCCACTTGCCTCAGTCTCCCAAAGTGCTGGGATTACAGGCGTGAGCCACTGCGCTTGTCCTATACTGTATCACTTTTTTTTTTTTTTTTTTTTGAGACAGAGTTTTGCTGTATTGCCCAGGCTGGAGTGCAATGGCACGATCTCAGCTCACCGCAACCTCCACTTCCCAGGTTCAAGCGATTCTCCTGCCTCAGCCTCCCAAATAGCTGGGATTACAGGCACCTGCCACCACGCCTAGTTAATTTTGTATTTTCAGTAGAGACAGGGTTTCTCCATGTTGGTCAGGCTGGTCTTGGACTCCCAACTTCAGGTGATCCACCTGCCTCGGCCTCCCAAAGTGCTGGGATTACAGGCGTGAGCCACTGCACCCGGCCACTGTATCGCTTTTTTAAAAAACAACTAAATTAATTTCTAAAAAGCAAAACAAACAAACAAAAATCCTCCTGCTGCTCTGGCCAAGGAAAGAAGACGCCTGGGACGCACCTTCTGAGTTCAGGGTGATGAGGGTGACGTTGCTCCCAATGCTCTGGCTGCCCGCCTGTCCGCAGCTGGACACCGAGTCGCTGGCCTCCGAGCCGCTCTCCCCGTCTTCATGGTGGCTGTCTTCTTGGCCCGGCACCTTCACCACAATGGTGTTCTGCCGACGCCCAGGCACAGCGCTGAACGGGAAAAAAACACACCAACCCAGTGTGGTAAGAGCCACAAGCAGCACGCGAAGGTCAGTGCTTTCCTTATCACAAGATCTAACTCTGCATGGACCAGTGGATCACACAGCCTTCCCAGACCGCTCTCTCTACCAAGATTAATAGCAACTCCATAGGAGAAAATGGCCCGGGGCTAAACGAAACTGTATAAAATAAAACTTAACCATTTAAAGAAAATATTTGTATCACAAAAGAAGTAAAATCATAACTCACTGGGACTCAGGCCTAGTATGCTGCCTTCTGAGTTCAGCAGTCAACCTATAGAATGCTGGTAAGAGTCTTTTTTCAGGCGAGGTTAAAGGAAAGACTAAATCAGAAGACTGCCCAGAGGCCTGGGTCAATTCGATCCATGCTGCTGGGCGTGCTGGAGATGGCTCCGCCTCTGCAAAGCAAGCAGCACTCCCAAGTATGCCCACAGGCAAAAAAAACCCTGAAGGGGCTTAAAAAACCCACTGAGATCCTATCGGAGCTGCCATCATCCCAAGGGCTGCTGATGTGGAAAGACAGAACACCACTAGCAAAGCAGGGCGAGGCCAGCTCCACAAGTGCTCAAAAAAAAGATGATTTAGAGACTTACTACTTCCCTTTTTTAATGACCCTTTCAACATCCCCTACCGTGGACTGCTATGCACCAGAAGAGGAAGGACCACAGTTTCTCTATTTGCGAAGTCAAAAAAAAGGGGTGCGGAAAACACTGGCCGCACCCAGAGGAGGCTGCACTCTGCACTTTCTGGCCTGGGTTCTCCAGAGCGCTGTCCATGCTGAACCTGATCTCAACACTGGCTATCTGCCTGGTTGACCTCAGCGCAAAGCCCCCGAGGCACAGCTGACCCTGGCACCTCCTCACCACCCATCACCAACTCCTCTCCCTTCACCCCACGTATCAGACCCTCGTGACCACAGCTGCAGCCCTGGAGAACTGAGCTAAGACAATACGGAAAGGGGACGAAGCTGGAGGAGGAGCAATCCACAAAGGAGACTGAGAGAAAAAGCAAATAGAACTTTGTGAAGACACAGATGGGAAAGAAAAAGCAACAGCATCCTCAGGGGTTCACGCAGCCCTAAGGGGCACTCCTGGGGAGAGCAGAGCCCGGATGCCAGCCAGAGGCCACTGCACAGCCTTCCCCTCACACAGGGCAGGGATGGCGTCTTCTGTCCACTCCCACCTCTGACCCAAGTTCCGTTCAAAATGTCTCAAGAGAAAAAGGCATAAGAAAAAAGTCATAAACTCAACATGCCTGCACCACTTAGCAATCGTGGGAGAGGGTGTCTGTTTGCCTGACACGCTCTGCACAGACAGACAGACGTGAGGACCACTGAGCTAGGTGGGAGGATGAATGCTTTCACTGACTGCTGTGAGGAGACAGAGCCAGCCCCCTCCACAACCCCAGCCAGCACGAGACACAGAATTCCCCGGCGGCAGGTGCCCCCTGGTGTGGCTGGACTCAGCACTCAGCATCACCCAGCCTGCCCTCCCCGACCTCAGAGAGCTGGGGCGGTGCCTGCCAAGCTCAACCCTGTGGCCACAGAGATGAAGTGCGTGCTGGACTGTGCCCTGGCTCGGGGACGTTGACTTATTCTCACGGGACTCCTCACAGTGGCAGGGAAAGGTGGGGTTGGTGCCGTGCTACTGACTTGCTAATGACATTTTCCAGGGAATCCGGTGCCCTGTTGCTCAAGGGGTCTTCCATCTTGGCTACAATGGCGTTCTGCCGATCATTGTTGAGTATTACTGTAGTCTGGGGGACGACGCTAGGGAACAAAAGAATCACAAAGAAAAAGAAGGCCTTAAAACAACAACATTCATGGTAAGAGCACATAAGAGTCATTCAACACAGTCCACTCCCAGGGACCCGCAGTGAGGGGGAGGCCTAAGAGTCATTCAACATAGTCCACTCCCAGGGACCCGTCCTGAGCGGGGAGGAGCCCCAAACGCTAAGGAAGAATAAACTGGAGATGGGGTTTTTAACAGTGTAACTTTCCTAATTGTTGGTGTTCTGTCTGCACAACTGGATAGGCTCAGGACAGCTGGGATGAGGATGCTGAGTGTGTGACACAGAACAGACTGCGACCACACCAGCTGTTATCACACCCAGTTAATAAAGCTTCTGGGGTGACACACTTGCATGAAAACCGGCTTGACATTTTCAGTCACTCCATCCCAACTAATTCCTATGGTACAGATCTAACGTTCGTAACCATGTAAGTGTTGGTATCGTCCAAAACGGTAGCGCCCTAGAAAGAAAGGGGCAAACATCACACTGGATTGGGATGGAAGGACACACGTGCTGCCTCCAGGTTCTGCAGGAACATGTGTGAGCCACAACCACAGGGCTCAGGGTTCTGCTTTGAAGGAAACAATTCTACCAAAGAACAAACCACAGCCCAGAAACCACCAAACCTGGTGCAACCCTGGAGGAAGCACTAGTGTGTTCAGACAGGCGGCAGCTAACACAGCTTCATCTCAAAGTGCAGACTCACCCACAGATTTCAATTGTGCGTTTTTAAGCCTTAGCACTTTCTGGTCACAAGGGATATTTAAGGTACACTTTGTTGTGGAAGAGTGGGGAGAGAAGGAACTAGCACTTGAAATATAAAGTGGTTATCACCTGAGGATAAAACACCGTTCTTGAATTTCACTCTCCGAAAACCAACTTGGGAAGCCTGCCTTTCTGTGATTTGCACACAGGAAAATCCAGCCTAGTGTCCCTGTAACTGTCCCCACATTGAGTGCAAGCACAGCGCCATGCCATGCCCAAGTAAATCACGGGTCCACAAGGTTTTCTTCCTAAAATAAAGGCATAATCAACTGCATTTCATTCAAAAATACTATTTTTAAAATTCCTGTACTTGTTATTGGTGACACCTAAAGTTAACACAACAAAACCTGATAAATGACCTACAGATCGGGTACGAAAAGCAGCCCAGGTGGCTGCTGGCTTGGTCACCACAGTCACCTACAGGCTGCAACAGTCCTATGCTCCTCAGAGATGTGGAACTGGAGAGGTTACCTGGCTTGCACGAGCTTGGTATGTTCCCCAAGTGGAGGCTATGGAACACTGGTGTCCCGGGATCCTAGGCTCACAGCATGTGGGAAGGCTGGTGCCCCGGGATCCTAGGCTCACAGCATGTGAGAAGGCTGGTGCCCCGGGACCCTAGGCTCACAGCATGTGGGAAGGCTGGTGCCCCGGGACCCTAGGCTCACAGCATGTGGGAAGGCTGGTGCCCCGGGATCCTAGGCTCACAGCATGTGGGAAGGCTGGTGCCCCGGGACCCTAGGCTCACAGC